AGAGGAATTATGTATTTAACTATTGATGAATAAAAGCATCTTACAATTTACTTCAAGTTAACTGAATTTTTTCTAAATACTATCTGTTTATGTTTATTTTTTAAATTATTTTTAAGTTATTTTTTATGTTTATAATTTTTTTTTAAATTAATAAACGATTTATTAAGATAATTTCTATAATGGTTGAAACTGGATATTAGGTACTTAAATATTGTTTTCATGAATTTATATACTACATATGTAGTCATTTGAACTGTGCGCCAAATTGATTTTTCAGACTTAGAAATGCAACTAAACTGTAGTAATATAAATTAAATTAACAAGCTTAAATTTAATAATTTGATACGCACAATTGATATCATTTTAAGATCTTAATGTACTGAAAATCTGTAAATAAATTTAAATAATTGTTTTAGTTATTAGAGAATACATGTCTTATAACTGTTGTAAAGAAAGATTGCTTTAGAAATTGACTGATAGAATTGTTTATTTATACAACATATACATATACTTATGTGTAATATAAAATGTGTATTATGTAATTTTTAAAGGCAAATAAATATGAGTCAGTAAATATGCCTCATGGCTGGAGGCAGGAACAACAGCGAGCAAAATGGAAATTTAGACAAAATACATCAGTGGCGATGCCACAATAGTAATTTTTCTAGAACGCTTGAACTGTCTCTGAGTGATGAATTCAAGAAACGGAAGAGTGCGGAACAACATCGCACTATTGTCAAAAATATTAGCCTCTTGCAAGATAGTATTCTGAGGTAAGAAAACATTAAATGTTCTAATTTAACAAAATTTAACATATTGATTATGCTATAAAGCGTATAATAAAAAAAAGCATTTGAAATTTTTTTAATGTCATGAAATACAGTATACATTAGATTATCTGATATACATATACTAGCGCAATTTAAAATTATTCATATTTGATTGAAATATTCTACAGGATGTTTATAAAGTCTCACCCAGGTCATATATCTCAGAAACGGCTTTAGATATGGAAAAATGTTTCAAACAAAAATTATAGGACATTAAGGAGGACTTTTAACGAAAATATGGACTTGACCTTGAGTGATCTTCTCAAGGTTAAGTCAATGTGACCCTTATTTTAAATGAAATCCTTCATTTTTTTATTGCATACTCTTGTAGCTTACCTCGAGAACTTTTCAAAATACTATAATAAAATATTTTTTCTTTAAGTGCTTTTTGTGTTATGGGGATTAAAAGTTACAGTTCCGCCGGTATTAGCATTACCCAAGCATTAAATTTAATTTAGCTAAAAATTCTCATTTTACGTAAAAATGAAAATAAGAGATACACTCATCATGGCCTTGATCTTGACAAATGTTATCCAGGTCATGATCCTGAAAAAGATTCAGATTTTTAGCCGTTGGTTGGACACTTTGAGTAATGCTTATACCGGCGGTACTGTAACTTTCAAACTCCAAAAGAGTATTTAACGAAAAAATATTTTATTATAATGTTATAGTTTTGAAAAACTCTTGAGGTAAGCTACAAGAATATGCAATAAAAAATGAGAAATATCATTTAAAAAAACAACAGTTACATTGACCTACCCTTGAGAAAGTCACTCAAGGTCAAGTCGATATTTTATATGTCCCCCTTAATGTATCATAACCTTTATCTAAAATATTTTTCTACATTTAAAGCCATTTCCGAGATATATGGCCTGGGTGTAACTTTATAGACACCTTATATAGACACACATATTGTGTAGGTGTGTGTATTAATTCTTTAATTCATTTTATTTCACTCAATCCTTTTTTGCACAATTTTATCTTTTATTTTTTTTGTGGAATTAATGTAATTTCTAACTATTTTACATATGCGAAAAAATAAAATTGATACTACCTCTAAAAAGAAGCAAATGCATTAGAACTTAAAAGAACAATGCAATAATTCTCTTTTATTATAGAATATTTACGGATTCCTTGCATTGTGATCTGAATATAATATATGGTTACAAAATAATACATATAAATGAGTGTATTGTTAGAACAAGATCGCCATACTTGTATCAAGTTCTCAAACCTTATTTCGTTTACACTAACAAAACGATCCATTGCATTCTTGATAAAGCCGAACTTTTTCATCAGATTGAAAGTTTTATAAGGTATTGCAGTACTGTATTAATTACCGGTATATAAAAATTATATAGCAAAAATATCATCGAGAAGAGATATTTTCGTTATTTACATCTGTCTGCATGCGTTTTATCTAATATAGCTTTGCAAAATGAGACAATTAAAATATAATTTATTGGAAACAATTGGAAACAAGACCGTCAATATAAATATTATAATTTTAAATCACAACGCCAACGCGGTCAGAGTGTTAAGATGTTGAACTACTATCTTAATATACATTCAATTAAATTGAATTAATATTTCAGACATACATTGAGAGCCGATGAAATTATCGGATTCACACAATCAATCTGAAACAAATAATCCCCCCAAATTCTCCCAAATCTTAAAAAACTGGCGTTGTGATTTAAAATTAAAATATAATTCTTTTCATGCTTTTTTTGTCTAGATAAATTATGTTTCTATTTATTTTTTTATTTTTACACAAGATCGTACATTTTTACGTCTAATTCTTTCTTGAACAGGCAGCAACTAAATACTTAGATATATATTGATTGGTGTATGCTTCAAAATCTTTTATCATTTTCTGTTTTACAGTAACAAATAAAATCATTTTCTCAATATTTTTATTAACATAAGATCTCCATTTTCCGGGAACAGTCTCTGGTATGCATCTCCGAGCAAAGTTGGTCCCCAAAATGTCTAGTTTTCCAGGAATTTGTCATTTTTTACTTATTAGCATAGAAACAATCATTATAATTTGTTTTAATGATAAACAGTAGCAACATATGCCCAGTATTATAATTCTGTGATTATTGCCTGAATAGATAGCTTGTATCTACTGATTTTCCTTTATTAAAAAAAATAATTTTGTTATTATTGATGTTCTGATCTATCAATAATTCTTTTATTGACAATGCATTGCTTATTAGTTGAATCGATAAAATGAACAGTTAAAAAATATAATTACACAATGTCTTTGGTTCTATCCCATGTATATTATCTTTGGCCTACTCATACTTCCTTTTTCCTTGGATATTCGATTGTAGTTCTTCCTTATTTCATTGTATAGTAAAACAGTTTTTATAAGCTATTGACAGTAATTTATAGAATAACAGATGAAAACATTTTTAATACTATAAATTTCAGTTTATTTATACATATGTTAGTACCGTTTGTTAAGCAAAATGAAACAATATATTAAATAGCGCTTTAATTTTACGATTACCTTTTTTTCGTATGGCAGCATATTTCGCAAACAAATTGAAAACTGTCCTCAGATTCAATAAAAAAAAATGTGGTAATCTTATATTAACATAGCTTAAGATTATTTGTCAAGTATATGGATATTTATTTTAAGTAAAATAAGAATAAATGCTTCGTATGCAACACGTTATATCATTTTTTTTCTATTAAAAAAAAAAAGATCTTTTGCACTGAGTGTTATGCAAGAGATTTTAGAGATGTAGTTATATTTATTGTAAACATGTATGAATTTGTTGTGCACGTACTTACCTTTTAATCCACACATTAAGCATGTTAAACTATTTCTGTCATATTAATTGAAATTTTATATCTATTGCTTAAATTTTTTTTATAATTATATTAAAATAAACGGCGTACATATGTGCATGTTATATATTTATTTAATTTACGTTGTCCTCTATTAATATTAATCATACTTATTTATGGATTGCAGGCTTCTGTACAGTAACCTGGACTTTACTCAAGAAGAACAATTGTTGGTGAAAATAATTTTGAGTACAAATTATAAATGTCAATCTTTAAATGAATTTAATATCAATACATATTATAATAATAGGTTAGATTTATTAATAAATTATATTATATTATATTATATTTTAGATTTTATTATATTTGTTCAGCCTTTGATTTTAAAGTAATAGTTTTTAATTAATTTAAATTTTTCGTGTTTTCTTTTGTTAAATTACTTATTTTACAAATCAGTTTTCTTTATCGCATTTTATAGATTTGTATTATTTACAGGATATGCGAGAAGTGTCTGACGTTGAATTGTAACATACATCAGCATTTTCAGGATTATGCTATAGCGAATGCAAGTCCTGCTGCATCAGAAATGGCTGACTCTGGTTTGGAGACAGGTTCAATAAGTCCACACGATAATACGACATCAGAGAATTCGAGCACGGACTTGACACAAGCGGCAGAATATGCTTCTGCTAATGATGATGATGATTTGAATCGAATATGTGCTGAGCAAATACGCAACAAGAGCGATCATAAGACACTTTCGTTATACAATGATCACTGCAAGTCACTCAATAATAGTAATTATCATGAAAAGAACACAATCCAATCAGTGTCGAATGATCATAGTATAGCATACTCATCTCTAGAAACAGATCATCAGCTTACAGACAGGACGGAAAACGTTCAGGAGAAGCTAAATGCCGAAGAGATTCTTCAGTACGAAAGTCGTATGTTAAATGAACCATTCTATGAATCGGATTGTGGCAGCGATGAAAACGAATCTTTTGAATTTATCGAGCCCATTTCTTTTGCGATTGATAAAGAAATTTCTACAAAGTGTAAATTAGAATGGAAAACACAGTCTGAGACCGAGGACTCGAAAAGCATAACAGCTGAAACGAGCGGAGAATCCGATCATTCTCGTTTGACCAATGCAACTAGTCGTAACAATTCTTCCACAAGCGGTTATTACTTTATCGATGCATCTACTTTGAATGACGAAGTGGATATTGTGTCTACTAATGTAACAAAGAACCAGTACGGCAATGATAGTACATCATCATATTTAACATTTTCCTCAAATTATACGGATTGTACGGTGAACAAATCAGCTAATGCAGTAGAAGAACAATCGTGTAAGTTTACACCACTTAAGACATCGTCTTTACAGACTGGTCATGAACGAGTGGCAGAATTTGAAAGAGAATTGAAACTCACCGAATACTTGCAACCATTCCCAGAATCGCGTAAAATAAAACGGATAGAGGCATCAGATTCTGCATCAGAGGAAAAGATAGAGACGAATAAACCGACAGAGAAAGAGTCATTGGCTGTAGAGATCAAAGAGGCGGACAGTGGGGAGAGCGCACATCCTTCCCCGTGTCCTGATAATAATACGAAATTAAATAATCAAGAAGAGAAAACAGAAACGTCAAATATAAATAAACACGAGACAACAGGAAATGAAAATGAGAAAGTCACGAGTGCCACTGACGACAAGCGACCATCGCTTATCAGAAGAAATACGTTCGAACTTGATTCTACCGATGAGAAATTATCTGTTTTGAGACAAGAGTATGAACGTATGCAAGGTAGCCTTGTTTTTCAAAGCGCCATTCCACAATACTCTGGACACCGTGTAGACGGAGATTCCATTTGCAACGTACCTTCCGATTCTGTAGTTCCTTCGATTACTGAACCATCGATTACGTTTACACCTGATGTACAAATCGCCATTAATACTCAGCATTCGATGTCATATTTATTAGACAGTCGTGAGTATGAGATTAATCAAACGCAAACACAAACCAATTATTTACGATCCAGTCTCAGTAAGTCTTGCGCGGTTTATCCAGTTATTAAAAGTGCCAGCGACAAATCTATCATGAATTGTAGCATGGATTCGGACGATGCATCGAATCATTGTAGTAATAGCTTGCCAATTACCTTAGACTCTATCTTAGAGAAAGGTGATCGAACGGGGTCTGTAAAGAGAAATAAACGAGATGAAGCTACTCCGATCATTTCTGGTGGTGTTAGCACTTCGGATTATTCGAAATCTTCCGATAGTCCTACAGTGCGACGCAAAACAGAATCCACACCAATTGTGTCGGGTGGCTCCGTGATCATGAACAAACCTGAAATCAAAATTAAATCCTCTAGAATGTCTTCCTCTATGACTGCCTGGATAGTTGACATGAGTGATTGTAATAAGGAAGAATCCAAATCTCAAAACAATTCACGAAGCATGTCACAAAGCTTTTCCACTTCCGAAAGAAAACTCAAACAAAAGTCGAGTAATTGTGAAAAACATGGTAGTTTAGGTTTTTTTGTCAACCTAAAGGATGTGAACGATGATGAACCCAACAAACGTGATCACTCACTTGAGAGGAAGGAACATGATAGTAACGACAAACCTTATTGCGAATTTTATGTAGATATTTCTGACAAGAATAATAGTGGTAAAATCAAGTCATCCGAGAAACAAAACGCAGACGCGAAAAACAATATTTCTAACGAAGGTGAGAAGAAAAACATCTTTTCAATGTTTATCAATTTGAATGATACGCGCGAGACTGGAGATACTGTAGTTATAGCTCCGACGCATAGGCGAAGCTTTTCGACTATACCTAATAAGTTAACGGATATTAAGACAGATGATAGTAGCTCTAGAGATAACAGTAACGCAGGAGATAACCAGTTGCCGCAAGAACAAAAGAAAGAAAAAACGAAGCCTAGCGTCTTTATGTTTATAGAATCCGATTCTCCCGTGGTGAGAAGACGGACGCTGTCTACTTCGCGACCAACGCTTAAGCGGCACTCGTGGAATGTTGATAAAACGCTACCGATAAATAATAGTAATGGCTGCGTAGCAAAAGAGCTTATGTTTAGAAGAGAACACAAACGTGCACACAGTATATCGATGGATAGTCGTGGCATTACAAAACAATCCCAAACTAAGACGAGTTCGTCTAGTCACTCGCTAAGCGATGCGACTAAAGCGGATTCTTACAACCATAAAAGTTTTAAGACACTACAGGAACGTGAGAACAACTCAAACAATATGGACACATCGTCCGAGGATGTATTCGAATTTGACGTAAAGGATACTCCACCAAATTCTCATGTTGAGATCGCAAATGAACAACTGCGCGTGAATCATCACGAATACAAAAATATAATTTCCGGTCAAATGGAGAATTTGGAAATCAATGAGGTGAAAGCGTATGAGGATGATCTTTCGGAGATCTCTGCTTGGGAAAAGACTTGTACAGAGAGCACAGAAGGTCACACTCGTAAAAGTGAAACATTTGATATCAGCAGTGGCAGCGGGCCTTCCCCAGATAGTGATAACCATTATTACGAATTTACTGATTTACTAAAGTCAGGTGTTAATGATAGATCGCAACTAGTTGCTGCAACAGGAAATAGCAGTAAGATATCGGAAACTTGCAAATCATTGAGTGAAACTATAAAAAAAATCGAATGCGAATTGAAGGAGCCAGAATATAACGATGCAGATCGCACATACGATTGCCATGTGTTGAAGAAAACCGAGAAGTTATCCAGTCGTAATTTAAACAATTTGCATTCAGATTCTGATAAAACAAATACTTCCAATTTTGTACGTCTGTCGGATTTGGATAAAACGCCAACGGCTAATCATGCGTCGGATATGCTAACAGTGAAGGATGACAGAAGCACGTATCGTATGAGCAACAGTATTCCGGAAACATCGTGGATAGAGAGCAAATTGACGATAACAAGGAATAGTGGCCCAATTAAACCAGTTTCTAAGAAGCTCGCTTCCGTTATGAGCACGTCGCTTCCATCCAAACAAAAGTCTCCATTAGAAGATTTGACCGGTGATTGCGAAGCCGAAGGGATTATTTCCGAATCTGATCTTAGCAGCATGCAAAGCAGTATGGGACGTTCTGGAGCGGGTATGTGTATCGTTTAGAATTTGAATCGATATGAACAGTAGCGTAGCAAAAATTATAAAGCTTTAACCCTTAAACAACACATATAGTAGGACATTATTCGTGTCCGTACGTTTTTCATTGGTCTCTTTTCTGTTCCTGCACTAGACTGCACTGGAATTCTCTTTCTTGCTTTCGATAAGTATATATACAATATATTGTACATATCTCATTTTTAATTCCAAAAGTGTACACTAGTTCAGTTACAGAAAAGACCTATAATAATTTTCTTTTTCTGATGCAGAAAGTAATTTTTATAATTTTTCTACATTTTTTTTCCAATATCTACATAACAGAATAATTTAGTAGAGACCTTAAGGAATATATGTAAATTTTAAAAGAATTTTTCGAGCACTTTAAGAGTCTCAAAATTAGGTCTGACACAAATGACTCATGTGTGCCGTTTAAACGTACTGAAAATATGTGTGCCATTTAAGGATTAATCATAGGCAGGGCGTTCCAGATCTATCGCACCACCTGCTAATGGCAGATTCCAGAAGTCATTTTGAAAGTTATATACCAAAATATCGAAGCTATAATAGTTTTTGAATTATAAGCATTTAAAAGTAGCGAATTATATCGCCTAAAGTTCGCATATTTAGGTATGGTTAACATTTCGTTCCACAGTATAACGCAAAAATGACATTCACATTTAAATGCGTAAACTACGGTGCGGTAGGTGACGGGACACCCTGTATAATTTAATAATCAATTTTTTCATCTCTTTATTATAATGTGACAAAATCTTTCAATTTCAACATTAGAAAGGCTGCGACTATATTTAAAAACAAAATAACATTTTTCTTTAAAAAAAAATGCTGATTACAGAAGGTAGCACGGAAGAAACTGAAACATCAAGCATAGCTGGTGCAAAACCATACAATAGACTAGGTGAGGATTTGTTAAGGATGTTTTTGGAAGAAATCAATCCTGATGTTACAATAGATGTAGCTGGCCAGCATATAAGAGCACATAAATGTATATTAAGTTCTCGTTGCCAATATTTTGCCGCAATTTTAAGTGGCGGATGGATCGAAAGTGCGGGCAATGTTATTTCTCTACAAGGGTATGCATTCAGACATAAACATATAGCATTTTCTAAAAGATTGTGTAAACTACGACAGTGTTTGCAAAGATTTGCACATTTCGGGCTGATTTTAGCAAGCGCCTCCCATCACCGCTCGAGGCTCGGCGGTCGAACTGCCAAGCGCTCATGTGACGCTCTGGCTCAGGAAACGTCCCTTACCAGAAATATACTAGCACATCTTCCGCCAAATTATTATTGAAACATGTTTTTTATTAAATAATTTATTTCTATTAACATAAAATTTTCTATTGTTAATTTATTCATTGTTCTTTAATGATATACTTATATCTTAACGTAGTTTTCTAATACATTACATAATTATGCTAACGTACATTTCGACAATAGCTTTCCATATCACTCGTGAGGTACTATCGTAAGATGCGTTTTTTTTTTAATATGATTTCCCCAGTAGGCCTATTCCACAAAAAGAAGAATTAAATACTAGAATGTGGCTTGACAAAAAAGCCAAATTATATATCGTATTATACGATATATAATTCAGATTTTTCTTTTCAATTCTTCTTTTTGTGGAATAAGCCTACTGGGGAAACCACATTAAAAAAAAACGCATCTTATTTCACGGGTGATGTGGAAAAATATTGTCGAAATGTACGTTAGCATAATTATGTAATGTAGAAAACTACATTAAGATATAAGTATATCATTAAGGAACAATGAATAAATTAGCAATAGAAATTTTTTTGTTAATAGAAATAAGTTATTTAATAAAAAAAACATGTTTCAATAATAATTTAGCGGAAGATGCGCTCTCAGTATATTTCTAGTATACAAGGACGCTCCTGAGCCAGAGCGTCACGTGGGCGCTCGCGGCTCGGCCGCCGAGCCTTCGAGCGATGGGGATCGCTCACCGAAATCAGCCTGAAATGTGCAATCTTTGCGAACACTGAATTACGATAAAGAGTTGTTATTTATACATTTCATACTCGATATGTTTAATATTTAAAAAATATATTGTATATAACACACATATTGTATATAACACATTTTATTATTGGATATATTTACATGAATGTATTTTTGAATGTATTATTTTAACATTATGAATCTATTTGATATTTTTTTTTATTAATATTATACTTCTTTATATTTCTTAATATTTTTAATATTTCTTTTATTTTAGGTATTCCTATAATGCAGTTCATTTTGCATTATGTCATATCTACAGTGGAGAAAGTAATATACCGGATTCTATAAGTATTGTTGAACTAGCTACATTAGCAGATATGTTGTGTTTAGAAGGTCTTAAAGAAGTTATAGGATATACACTTAAGCTGAAGTATTGTCACCTGTTTCATAAGGTAAATATATAAATTTAAAAAAATGTTTCTATCTCAATAAAGAAATTAATAACAATATGTGGTGCTATATAAAATATGCAGTTGATTATAATTGGAAACTTAATAATAATCTATTTATAATATTCCAAGAAAATTCATGTCATATCTATTTTCATTGATTTATTTGGTCTTTAACATATAATCTTTTATATGTTAATATAATCTAATATATATATATATATATATTAGGTGTAATAAAAAGTCATCGCGTATTTTTAAAAGACATCTATCAGTAAAAACCGCAATTACTTTTTTACCAACAATATAAATATATCTTGATAGAGTAAAGTTTCAGCTTTAAAAATCTCTTTTTTAAATTATACGATACGACAATTTTTAATGGAGTTATGAGCAATTAAAGTCAAAATAATTCTTTTATTTAATCCGCGATAACTCAGTAATCAAAAGTCGTAGGAATATT